TTTTATAAGTGTCTCAAATATCATTCAACATTATAATTATGACATTGACAAAATTATTCCACTTTCGGTGGTGACCTCATTTACATCAAAGGATCAAACACAATGTAATATATTTACATCAAAATTTTCACTTATAGTGAAATTTAAATATTGATATTTCTCACTTCTGGTGAGAAAAAAAATAATAAATTAAAAGAGATTGCACATTCTCTTTTGATAGCATCTTCTAGACACATTTCAAGGTTGTATAATTTTTTTTTATTTAATAGTGTCTTCAGGACTACTATAGTGTTTTCAATACTACTTTAATATATAACAATGTAAACAATGCAAATATTTGATAAAATTCTTATTGTGGAAGATGAATAGCTAACCTTGAAATATTTGTTTTGAAAAATATGATTTTCTTCATGAAAATTCTTCATAGCTTTGTCTTGCAGTTGCAACACCAACAGAAGAAAGACTATCGTGCTAATAACGTATTATAAAAGAAAGAAAAATAGAGAGAACAAAGAAGACAATATGAGATGGAGAAAAGAATCTGACTAGTGTATTCTTTGGGGAAAGATTAACCTATTTATAAGTACATGTGGTAACTGAACAATTACACAATAAAGGGAATAATACATAACAGAAATATAAAGGGTAATGATTGATAATGAATATTGGCATCCACTAATTAAGCCACTAATTATTATTCATAACATTTATCATTATATTTACAATATTAACTTAATTATTTATTTTATTATTTAAATATTCAAGTCATAATTGCTTGATTAAATAAAATTATGATAACATTTTAAGACTAAAGTAACATCAAGTTAAAAGTTTAGGGAGTAAAGTGACATTGAGTTACAATTTTAGGGATTAAAGTGACATGATGTTATAGTTTCAAGATCAAAATGAGTATTATAGTCAAATAGCACGTGGTACATATACGTCACGTGGCACACCCACATGTCATTCCACATATGTGCCACATGTATGTCACATTGCACTATTGTGCCACATGTGACACTCCCTACCTCGCATACCATAATACAAGAATTAAGTAAAAACTAAATCATAAAGTCTTTCATAACTGAAAATCTGTCATATTTAACATAGAGTGTCACATTTTAACTTAAATAAAACCAATTTAAAATCAAACTAAAAGTAGAACAAAGGAAATAACGTGTCCTAAAACATAACTAGAGAAAGTATATCCTAACTAAGGTCTAATGTTACATCCTATTAGTGCATAAACCCAACCATAAGGACTAAGTCTTATTGCCAACATCCTCAACATCATGATGTAAATCGACTACAACAACATGCAAAAGAAATAACACAAAACAAGGGGAGTGAGAAAAAATCTCACTTTTGTTCATGGTGTAGAATGTAGTCGGATAGCCAAAAATAAACAATAATACAAAGACATAATCATATAAATAGTTGAAACATGATGCAGTTATCTAAAACATAACAAAATACAATTCAATTGATACCACAAAATGATTTCACATAACTAAACAAGTCAATATAATAAATTCATTCACATGTATTATGCAATGATACAAATTACATGCATGTGATGCCAATCAAAATAACCACATGGTACATTGCCTCAAGAAACACATATAGTAGCCTATAAATACATGCTAAGTCACCCTCTTAATGCACTCTCACTAGGAAGATATACTACCAGGGTTTAGTTAGGATAGCGAAGTCGCACAAGCTCTACCCTAAGCACATAATGGACAAAATTGAGATTTCACAAACTTAACTATCACCAAGAGTTGATCCCCAAACTTTTGCATAAATGGGTCTTCTCTGATGGTGTATTCCATATCGTACCCTTTAAAAATATTTATGCAAAAGATGCATATCAAATAAGGCTCTATGCAAGGATACATCGCATTAGCATATCATATCATTTATCAACTGTTCTCAACCAAGCATTAACAACTCAACTATATTAATTGGTATAACAAGGGACACAATGGCAACATATCTTTATAGTTCAAGAATCAAAAGGAAGAAAATACAATTTGCAACATAACACTTAGTGGCACTCATGTTGCATTTGACACAGGTCATAAAAAGAGCCTCGTTGCTCTCAGGCTAAACCATGCTTGACGTGACAATGCAAAAGCACCATAGGGAAACCCCTAGAGCTTTTGTGCTCAACGAGAGTCGTTCCACGTCCAACACGAATGATCCCAAGAGCAATTTTTCCTCTCGGGCTCGACGATGCCTGATATGTCCAAGGTGACACCCAACGTCATATCAAAAACTCCAATTTTGTAGAAAATGATAATTACTTACATCATGCAACAATCATCCAAATTACAATTCAATAAGTAAAAGTGTTCTAAGAGGCATTTCAAACATCCTAGAAGGCAAACAATGCACACATCAATCACATACTCTTCTTAACTACTCACACAATAACCATCACATCCCCTAGGATTCTCATAGAAACCCACGAGTAACCCAAAATACACAATTATAGACCAAATTGCAAAATTAGTTCAAACAACTACATAACATCAATTAGAGAACCAAAAAGCAATAGAGAAGACAAAGACACATTTTTGGAAAAATCCCTCACATACATACAAACAATAGAGACAAGATTGAGAGTCCATCTTACTACCCAACATACATCTCACGTTTAGAGTGAGACTACTTTCCCCTTACCTTGATGAACGTTAGAAGATTGATGTAGATCTCTAGGATGTTCTCCCACTAGTTTTGGTTCTCCAAAACCTTTAGAGAGCAAACATACATGAAAATAGTAAAAAACATAAAAATGAAAACTGATCAAGAAACTTCTTTTAAAAACTCAACTCCCTTTTAACTCCACAATTAAAAACAATTAACCTAAGTTACAAATTCTCCCTCAAAATAATTAAATAAATAAATTATTTAATAATAAAACTTTATAATATATCCATATAAGTATAAAATAATTAAAAAAATTTATCAAAACTAACCCAAATATTTATAAAAAAATACAATAATTATTAATTAACAAAAATATAATTTTAATAGAGAAATTGAAGTGTTACACCACATAGACACTTTCATTTAAAAAAAATGAAGCTTATTTAACAAAAAAAACTTAAAAATGAATAACATATTATATTTTAGATATATTTTTTAAAATTTCATTAAAATCAAAGATTCAACTAAGAGCGATATACAATTTTAGGGACTAATTTAATGATTTATCTTTAATCTTTAAAAATGGAGCATCGAATTTTTAACACAAATCTGACTTAAAAATATGGAATCTTCCATTTCTTAATCATCCATCAATTTGTTTTATTTATTTATTTTGATACGTAACTTTTTTTTATTCATAATTTATTTAATTTATTTTTATAATTATATTATTAATGAAAATAATTCTTTTTATCTTATGATAAATATTGATTTAAATTATTTTATATAAAATAAAAAAATTAATAAATAGATGAAATAATTTTATAGTTAATTTTTTTTCTAATAAAAAATAAAATAATAACTACTTTAAGAGTTAACATAATACTTATTATAAATTTTATTTTTTCTTCTGATCACATTAGGAGTATTTATTTATTTGTTCTTCTTCTTATATTAATTGTATGTTCCCATAAAAAAAAAGTTATTCTCCTCGGTGGCTTCCTAACTGAAATGCTTTCAAAGCAATCATGTCACATCACTAGAATAATAATTTATGGAAAGTTTTCATCAAGAAAGTGTGCTATGACCGATTCTTTAACCAATCAAATTAAAAAGATGACACCTAAATATTAACGTGCCCACCATGAACGGTGACAACAATATAAAAAGTTGGAAAAAGGCTAGTTTCAATGGAGAACATTGACGCAATTCTTTTGCCTTTATATATATATATATATATATATATATAAAAGGAGGGTTCAAACGACATCGGTGTAACTTTTACTAAATGTTACACCGCTTAATAATTTTATATTAAATGTGAATTTTGAAAATCTAACCGTTAGATTGAAAATTCATATCTCTTAGATCATATATGTCAAATTTTGTTAAAATTGAACAACACATTGAAAATTCATATCTCTTAGATCATATATGTCAAATTTTGTTAAAATTGAAAAACACTTTGAAGGTAATCAAAGTGTTCATATTTTAGTATATTTTGAAATGTATATATTATGTCAATTTTGTTTTATGAGAATAAAGTATCAAATCATCTTAAATTAATATAAAATTTGACATATATGATCTAAGATATATGAATTTTCAATCTAACGGTTAAATTTTCAAAATTCACATTTAATATAAAATTATTGAGCGGTGTAACACTTAGTAAAAGTTACACCGGTGTCGTTTGAACCCTCCTCTATATATATATATATAAAGAACTTCCTTCTTAAGTCTTCTTTCCTTGGAAACTCGAAGATAACTTGAATATTTTCAGATAGTTTTTACTTCTATAAAGTGTTGCTTATTTGACTTATATTAGACCATAGGCCAAGCAAAGTGAATTTGAGCTGGGTTAAAATACATAGCATTAGAACATGACTAAATTTAAGACATAAGCTTATTTTTGTTTCAGTGAAGATTCTAAAAAATTTTGTTTTAGTTCTTTCAAAACAATGGAAATGGCTCAGAAAATATCAGCAAAAGCAGAGAGTTCAAGACCAAAGTTGCTAAGAAAAGGTAAGTTTAGAGTTCAGTAAAGGATGACAATAACAATAACAACAAATTGGAGGGACAAAATTCTCCTTTTAATTATTTTTCAGCATGAATGGAATACTTTAATCATTCGACAGTGTTTAGAGGCTGAAATGAAAGGTATAAGCAACTTACAAAGGATGAGATTACACCAAAACAAGATGAAATTTGTTGCTCTTATAAAATATTTGAAGTTTGTCTCAACTAAGAGGTTTGGATCCTTTGTTCAAGAGGAAAAACATGTCTTTGATATGCTCTAGCTGGGATCAGATAAGAAGACATTTCAAGTTCAATTACACAAAATTGGATAAAACTAAGAGCCCTTTGTTATGAGACATGCCAGAGCACATGGAATGAGAAAATGCATATACAAATAAGAGTTTATATACTAACAACCTAACCAATCTGTAACTAATTAACTAATAGTCTAATCAACCTCTAACTAACTCAACTGATATTTCTCTAATTCCCTTGAAAGCTAATTGTTTCATCAATTCTTGGACACAACAACGAAATAAAGAAGTTAGCAAGTGTACATAATGAAGGGGGATGTTATATGAATCCATAAAATGGATACCAATGGGGGACAGAATTATAATACAAACTTCCTGAATTGGGATTTAATTCATCATAACAAGAACTTTCTCTCTTCAATTATGAGACATCATGGGATGATAAAATAAACAAATGTCTTGAGTATATATAAGTACAACTCTAAAATGTAGACAATCACCTTGTATTAGCAAAATAAGGAAAACTAGCATCCGTGTCTCTATTTCTACCAAAGGAACTTGTGCTTATCTGATCAAAGGAAGGAGATTCAAGTGAGTGCAAGAATTCATCAAATCCCTCCTGGAAACCTACCTCTTCTGGCTTCCTCAACTCATCTGGCAAACCAGCTTCTCCATGCAAATACCTAACCACTTGTCTCATACTAGGCCTAGAAGCAGGTGCACCATTTGAACATAAAAGCCCCAATTTCAACACCATGAGAACCTCTCTTTCATTAAAATGACCATTCAGTTTAGGGTCCACCACATCAAGTATTCTCCCTTGTTTGTATTTTTTCCACACACAATCAACCAAAACCATATCTTCAGGCAATGCCTTTGGCTCAAGTGGTCTGAGACCACATGCCACCTCCAGCAAAAGTGCACCAAATGCAAAAACATCAGAGCTAGGTGTGGCCTTACCTGTCCTAGGCAATTCAGGTGCCAAATACCCCAAGGTCCCCACCACCCTTGTGGTACTAGGGTTAGCACCATGGTCATACAATCTTGCTAATCCAAAATCTCCTAGTCTTCCATTGAGTTCACCATCTAACAGCACATTGCTAGCCTTCACATCTCTATGTATGACAACCTGCTCATAGCCCTCATGCAGATACAAAAGGGCTGAAGCAACATCCTTTATGACCTTAAACCTTTGCTCCCAACTCAGGATTGTTTCTGGATCATCAAACAAGTACTTGTCTAAGCTCCCATTAGCCATGAAATCATACACAAGGAGGAGGTCACCGCGGCGGCGACACCACCCCAGCAACTGGACCAAATTCCGGTGGCGAAGCCGGCCGATGCTGGCTATTTCCGACACAAACTCCCTCAGGCCTTGGTTGGAGTCATGTGAAATTCTCTTGACAGCAACTAGGGTATTGGAGTTTGGCAATGTTCCTTTGTAGACACTCCCAAATCCACCTCGTCCAAGCAGCTCTTTGTCCTTGAAACCTTTAGTTGCTTTCTTGAGCTCTTGGTAGGAGTACCTATGTGGTCCAATCTCAAGCTCCCAAGCTTCTATAACATCAGCATTCTTGTATCTTCTGTACATGTAAATACCAAGTAAGATAACACACAATGCAAGAACAACACAAGAGACTGAAACCCCAACTATCAGAGATGTGTGTTTCTTCTTTGGCCCTGGAAGCTGTGGGAGACTATTGAGATCAAGGGGTGGAGCTGGTCCATTGATTTGGAAGCTCCAACCCAAGATGTAATGGGAGCTTGCAAGCAACCCTGTTGATGCAGAGAACCCAACATACATGGAATCCTTAAGGATTGGTGAAAGATCCACAGGGAAGGACAAGAGTGGCCTTTTGGGTTTAGTAGAAGATGGAGAAATTGTAACATGGATCACACTTTGGGAAGAATCATAATCAACCCAAGCTAGAATTGGTTTCCCACTCTTGAGAGTGAGATTTTGCTTGGTTGAATCACCATCCCCTGTGTAGTAACCTGCAGGTGCAGAATCATTGGAGGCCAAGCTATTGATGTCAATTCCAACATGGTTGTCATTGATGTCCCCAAACTCAAAATCTTGGGCTGTGTCAAACTCAACAGCAAAAAGGTGGTTGGAGAAGTTCCCTATGTCACTTGAGTTGAGAAGACCAAGATACTGGCTTGGAAGTGCTTTCAGATCCTTAGAAGTTGCAATAGTAAAAGCAAGGCCATGCCCTCCTAGCTTTGGATACTCAGGAACAATAACCAATGCAAAAGAGGAGGAAAAGGAGAAAGCTTTACCATCACTAGTGCTCTTGAACTGAAAAGCAGTCGGATAAAAAGCATGACCTATAACTTTACTTAAATCATTTGTGAGTTTCAGTACCCCATTGTGCTCTATTTCTGCTACTCCATTGAGGGTCATGTTGGTGCCTCCCACACCCTTGAATCCAGCATAGAAGATCTGGTTAGGCTGAGATGAAGCTGGGATCAGAAGGAACAGCAAGAAAAACAAGAGTTGGAGGAGCATGTTGAACATGGGACAAGATTTGGAAAATCAAGGACTTTGAATGAATGATTTAGCCTCGAGGGTTCAAAATATTAATTGCTATGAATAGAATGGAATGGGTTGTGACCTGTGAGGAAAGGGGTAGTAACATAACAAAATATCACATTTTGCTCATTTTTTTGAAAGAGTTGGTGAGGAATGTATTGATGAAATTGATGGGTGGCTAAGTAGGATTAGGAATGAAGCAAAGACAGGAACAAGTTGTTCACATGGGTCAGCACCCAGCAGTAAAGGGAAAGCTAAAGCTGTGGGTTTTGGCAGGTGAACTGCACCGCACGCTGAACTAAGTGGGGAATGTCAAAAGATTTCAATAATATTCTAAAAACATATGAATATGATGCATGAAAAGGAAGCAGACAAATCTTTATGATCATTCAGAAACTGATGGGAACCTACCTGTGATGTGTCTTGTGTCTTGTTTTAGTTTTGGATTTGATCCTTTTCAACCCCTTTTGGGTAGATTATGGTAGAAATTGATGACGGTAAAATTAAATCAGTTTGAAAACGTTGGATAATCAATTTGTATTTTCTTTTCTATGAAACATAGTCCAGAGCTGGATTTCTCAAGAAGCTCATAACTAAAGATTTCGTTAATTAAGTATTACATTGCAAGAATGGATTCAAAATTAACAATTAGAAATTAATTTATTTTTACATAAAGTAACTTTTATCTGTCAAATATTATTTTTACATTGTAAGAATAGATTCTCATATCTATAACATAAATATTATTATAAATAAAGATAACAGTGATATTGTTAAGATTCAAACAAGTCCCACATCGATAAAATATGACAAATAATAACAACTTATATAATACAAACATACTTCAATGATCGAGATGCTTTTTGGGTGATGACCAAAAACAAAACCGTGAAGGCTAAGACTCAAAGCGGATAATATCTTATCATTGTAGAGTATGTTTGTTTAATAACCTTATAAAAATATTTTATAAAATATCATCTCAGATAAATACCCGATCAGGTACAACATATTTAGATAACTACTAATTATACCACAGTGAATGTAGAACAGCGTGGTCTCTGAAAATTACTTCTTACTTTATTTCTTCTGTCATATATACATATATATACGTGGAAAGCTTCTAAACAAAATCTACGAGATATTCACCACGGAAAAACATGGATTTTATTGGTTGATCTATTAATTGATGATTGGACTAGTTTCTTTATTACTTTAACTATTATTCATTAATGTCTGTTATGGTTTCCAAACAAGAGTTGACCTAACATACTATCTAATTTCAAAGGTGAGACTTTTTTATTTAATATTTTTTATAAAAAATAAAAATATAATGAAAAAAATAATTATATTTATATATTTTTTTAAGACGAATCTTTTAAATGATTTTTTAAAAAATTAAAGTGAATTTTATTTATTAAACCTTAAAAAGAATTATATAAATATTAATATAATTTTTTTTATATAAATAATTTCAAACGAGGAATCGAGAATCTTGTTGATCTCACCTTTTATAAACAGATATATGTTCTTTTATCCAATCTAATGCTAATATAAAAGCAATATATATATATATATATAATTTTTTTAAAAATTAATTTTATAAAGTTAAATTAAATTTAATCACATATTTTAAGATAATATTATAATTTATTTTATAATTATTATTAAATTTATCGGAACAACAATTATCTTACTATTATCATACTATATCTAAAAATATATGATCTCACAAATTTCGTACTTTTTTATTTTAGAACAACAAATTTTATACTTAAAATGTATATAAATAAAAATAATTTTTATTTTATAAGTTAATTTTGTTATGAACATATATTATTTAATGATTAAACTGTAAAAACAATTCTATTTGTTTTTAAATGTGAGACCCACGACTCTCCTTCTCGTTTTTCTTGCATTCTATTCTTTTCTTCCTCATTCATGAAACTCAAGTGTTGAACCCTTTCTCTTTCATTGATTTTCTTGAAGGTGCTAGTTATTAGTGGAGTAAGAAAAGCTACAAAGCTATTGTTGGAATCTTCCTCCCCAAACCATTTATGTTCTATATTCTCTTTCTTCCTCGTTTGGATTCGGCGTTCTTCCTTCCCAAGGTAAGGAAAGTTAGAAATTTACCATTGATTGTTGCTTGTAGCATGAAAGTGGTGTTGTTTGATGGGTTGGCTACATGCGAATTAATTTGTGTAGCATTTGAGTAGAAAGTGAGGTGTTGAGTGGAAAGGAGAAAATGTGGTGGTTTGGATCGGATTCTTGTTGCATGTGTGTTATGTGATGTTTTCTGAGTTGTATTTTAATGGTAGAGTTGTTTTCTTGCAATTGCATGTGCTGGGTCTCTTTGGATTATAGGTTTTTGATGGATTTGGGTGAAAAACAATGTGGGAAGCCATGAAAGTGTAGAAACTCTACACTCAGTGCTGGAGTGCTAAACCAGCACTGGAGTTGTGAGAGAAACCAATGCTACAACTCCAATTTGGGCGCTGCAGCCCCGGAAGGAATTGATTTGGCAGACACCTAGAGTTGCAGCTCCAAGTTAGGCATTGCAGCCCTGAGAGAAAACGAAGCTGGCAAAAAGTTAGAGTTGCAGCACTAAATTGAGCGCTACAGCGCCAAGGATAGATGACTAAATTTGATCTTGGAATCTTCATGAAAGTTGTAGCCTTGGATGTTATCTTTTCAATGACACTGAAATTATCTAAAAAAGAGGTCTAGGACTCTAATTATGACCTTTTTAATGAGCAAAGGTCAAACTATCAGGATTTAGGTTAGTTGGTACGGTTTTTACATTTTTTAACAAGGTAGATGATTGAATTAGGACTTGATATCTTCATTGAGAGTTGTAGGAAATCTTCTTATCTTTCATATGAGATAAAGATGAGCATTATAGGAGTAGTATAACTTCATATGTGCTATTTTAGGTGAAGGTTACCATTTTACAATAAGTGATTTGGTTAAGTTGAAAGTTGTTTTGGGTGCTTAAGTTCATTCATGTTGTTTATGTTGTGTAAGTTGGCATAATAGATGAGTTGTAAACATGATGGGTGAGTTGTATTATGTGTTGAATATGTTGTATGTTGTTGAAGTTGTTTACGAGTTGTGTGTTGATCAATTATATGTAGAAAAGATGATATTGTTGAAGCATGTTGAAATTAAGTTGTTAAAGTTGTTATATGTTGTGTGTTGACTATTTATATTTTGTAAAATATGATGAGATGATCTAGTTGAGAGTTGTGAAGTGGATGATGATAATGTTGTGAGTTGTGAGAAGCATGATGTGAAGTGTGTAGATGTGTTGAGATGATGCAAAAGTTATTAGTAGACTATGATGCTAAGTTGTTAGATGAAAGTTGTATGTTGTTATAAAGTTGTATGTTGTACTATGTGTTGAAAAGATGTTACTTTGTGATGGTTGAGTCGTAAGTTGTGAGTTGAGTTGTTGAGTTTACTGTGTTGTTTAAAATTGAAATGAGTTGATAGTTGAGATGATAAAATGATAACTTGTTGTACTATGATGATGAGTTGTTGATCCCTAGGACTAGGGGAAATATTTTCAAAGTTGCTCATCCCATTATGCAGATTGAGATAGTTGTGGTGTTCTAAGAGCCTAATTTGTTGAAAAACCCTCATTGGGAAGTTGTCCCTTGGAGTGAATGATGTGTTGTTCTCCTCTAGGACTTAATTGGTCCCGTGTGTAGACAATGTCGAGACACACATGTATAAAGCGACCATGGTATAGGGGCTAGGTCGAGTTATACCAATTACAAGTGGCCAATTTGAGTAAAGTACGAAGTTGGACACTTAGTTCCTAACCAAGTATCGGAGGATTGTAGTACTTGGAGGATAGTTAGTAGACTAATCACATAGGTGGCTTAGTTGAGCTAGCTAATGTCGTGGTAGGCCTAAACTCAACTGTCGTATCTTGACATAGTACTATATTTTCTTGTTTAAGTGACAGTCTGAGAAATCGTTATCGTATTGTGAATTTTTATCCAAATTTTTTGTTTACCTAGCAAGCCCAAAAAAGTTTTATGTTGTTGGTTCAATAGGACCTAGCCACTCAGACTGCTCACCCTGTCTTGTAGGAGATCTCCGAGTTGAAATGCGTGACGACGTATGTGTTGATGAGTTTGATATTTTGATGATATGAGTTGTATGTGTTGATGTGTTGTGAAAGAATTGTTGAGATGTGTGTTGTTTATGTGTTGTGTGTTGTATGTTGAACTAGTTAATGATGATAGTGATGTTAAATTGCTAGTGTTATAAGTTGTTTTCCTATATATGTGTTGTTTATTTTTACTAGTTTACCTTACATGTTTCCACGTGGTTTAGACTATGATGATCATACAATATATGAAAGTAGGACAAAAATAGGCTGAAAGATAACTATTAGAGACTATAAGAGGTGCCTAGAGTGGATGTTTCTTTTGTAGGTTACCTTATAGTAACATATTTTGTTATATATAATTAGATATTTTTAATTGCTTACTTAGCAACTTATGTTATAAATATTATTATTATACTATTTTAGTATATATTTTAATAATATATTGTATTATTCTGCAGTGTGACAGTTATGACAAATCGTTACGTTAAACGTGAAATAAATATCTTTCTTTTACTTGGACAAGAAAGATAAATCAATGTACGTATAAGCTGATTTAAAAATTACCATTTATTAATCATTTTAAAAAAATATTACATATAAAACGTGTCTACTAATTTCAACGATTGTCACGAGTGTCTACTAATTTCAACGATTGTCACGACTCACGAGGTATAAATAGAGCATTACGATACACTAAAATATATAATAATAATACAAAAGAAAATGTTAGGGACAACAGACAGAAGTTAACGATTAGCGATTTGTCATTTAGTTATTTTAATTAGTTAAATTAAAAATTAACTTATTATATTTCGTGTTACTTTTTTATTAGTTTCTCATATATATACAAATATTTTTTAATCTTTATAAGAATTTTTTTTATGAAATAGCTTTTACAATTTATCTTCCACTTCGACTGTTTTTATTTTATTTTTTTACGCAAAATATTCTTACAACGAATGCAGTTGGACCAAACTCGTGAATATTTTAAAAATTTGAGAACAAAAATTGTAGAATTAAAAATTAAGAAATTAAAATTGTTGATATTAATTATTTCTTAACTTTCTAATTATTTGCATTGTCAAGGAAAGTGATTACAAATTTTATTGGCTTTGGTGTTAATCTAGTTCTTTAGAGAATTCACATCTGTTTTTAAATTTATGATTAGGTCTTGTATATATCATTTATTATTATTATTTTTTAATTTATGTTTAAATTTCTTGTTCCGACTGTTGTGGTATTAAGGTCACC